AAAGAAATTCTTTAGAATTTCCTGCATACTTTTATGCGCTTCCTTTTAAATTTTTATTAACTACTCCAAATAAAAAAGCAATTCCTGATATAAATACTTATTTAGTCCGCGAAACTAATCTTAACTGCATGCTTTTAGGAGATACTTTTTTGTTTAAAGAAAAATATGCGAGGAGTTTAATAATGTGGTGATAAATAAAGATTTTTCATTAGTTCAAGCCAGTATATAATTTCAATTATTTGAAAAAGCAGGTAAAGCGCCTAAAATTAGGGAACACGCATTGTTTTGGAAGCTGAAAATAAAAGAAGCTTTACAAAGTCTGTGTAATTTTTTGTTGCTTAAATTTATTTTCACTTCAATCTTGCAACTTATAGCTTTCTCGTTTTAACTTCTTAAAAAGAGGAATCTCTAAGCGACTGAATAATTTTATGGCTAACCTTATCCGATGCCTTTGCCATTGTACACTGAACGGCCTTACTATTTAGGTGTTGTTGTTTATATTTAGGCCGTGCAAACCTGCTCACCCCTTTAAATCAAAAAACATGAAATTGGTGGCATCATATAAAATTTGCATTCCAAATTAACATTTACTTCGTGGGCAGCTGTAACAATATGAAAGCAACAACAACAACAAAAATTATGCTTCAAACCGTTAATAACCTTTTTCGCTGCTAAACAGCACCTACTTCTCTCTCACTATCTCTTTCACTCCCTACTGGACGACCTTATTTTCAAAGCAGCTGCTTTTGTTGTGGTTACCCAAATAACGCATTTCTAATTATTCTCGCTTTTATCCTAGCTGTTGTAGCGTATGCTTTTCACGTTCCTGCGCGGCGCGGCATACTGGCTAATCCTTTTCGGCGTTTCAGCAGCGCACACTCACATGCACCTAAGTATGTATGTATGGATGTATGTTTGCATGTTTATGGGTGGTGTTATGTGTACTTTTAGGCACGAATGCAAATGCGTTTGTGAAATGAGAAATTAAAGTGCGCGTGTGGCATCAAATACAAGTGCGCTACGCTACACATCGCCGAAATGGAATGAAAGCCATGCGAGCGCCAGTTGATTGGTGCAAATTATGCAAATAAGTGTGTCGCAGCAAATATGTACAAAGTGGGTTGCGCGCGCGTGTATTCGAAGTCGTCGTAACAAAAACAAAAATTTTCGGAAAACAAATGGTTGAAAGTGTCACGTAGCAGGCATGAAGAAATTGGGACGTTTGTAATTATGCACGTAACTGATACTGGGAAATTGTCATAGCGAACAAATTTTTTTTTCGGACGATATCAAAAATAAATTGGAGTGGACTTTCTGTTTTAAAAAGTGTCAGCGTTGAACTATGACCCAAAAAACTGAAGCTTTTTTGTGGTCCAATCGGACACTCAGTTGAACTTGCACACATACTACATATGTACCAAATTTAAGAAAGGTGGAACTTGTGGCGGATTTTCAAACGCTGCATACTTTCAGGATCGTAAAGTTAACGGTCCTTTTAAAAAAGGTTAAATTTAAACTGCTATTAAAACGAAAGATTTCACTTTAAGGCATTGTATATAAGTAAAATTGTATCAGCATACTTTTGGGAGCAATATAGAAAAGTAAAATTTAGAGTAGGAAAATTGAACGGTTTTTATAGATAAATAATTTCAATGCTATCAATTACAAATATCAAAGCTCACAGCAATGAATGTGTTTGCATACTTGCGGGCGCATTAACCAAATTTTCCGCTGTCTCTTCAATTTCGGTTAATATTATGTCATTTCCAAAAGCACTGAATATATTTTGTTGCCATATTTTTGAAATTTGCATCTTTGCCATTTTTCGACACTTCAACAGTTTTTTTTTTCTCAAAAACTGGACGTGATAGAAAATGTTTGTAAATACACTTCAAATCAGCATCAAAAAATCTATAAGATGAGGTCGGCCCCGCTTTTGAAATAACATACGACAAAATTTTATTGAACCGTGTTATTTATGTAGTTGACAAGCAGGCATTTTTAATAGCTACAGAGCAATGATTTTCCTTGGTTGGTTAACATGTTATGCTACCAACATAATTTCATAATTTCTGTATAAAATTCCACACTTCACCATTTAATACGCTAATCATCGATACCTCTACATCATTGCATACTTTTAGGTTTTTCTTCAATAAAATTATTAGATTTTTTGCGAATTATAAATCTATAACTTGCGTTTTTACCTAATAAAAGTGTGCAACTTCGCGTTTTAGTGTTCTGATATTTTCCATTGCATACTTTTAGGCAAATTTTTCCCTTTTATTTATTAGGCTATTTTTATTTATTTATTTATTTATTTATTTAGTCTACAGAAAAATGTTTTCTTACAGACAGTTGAGATAAAAAGATTTAGAATATTTAAGTATGTGTGATACATTACAGAGTGAAATAATTATAAATATTGACTTGTAAAGATAACAATGATATTCAATAGCAATTTGGGTAGCTGGCGAGGCCTTGTCTCCAGTCTACTTTTGTGTGCGGCGGGCGGAAAGACCTAGTTTCCGCTCCGCCCTGTTTACAGGCCGTTGATCATGGTCGGAAAGGCCGAGCTTCCGATCCATGTTCCCGTAGTCGTTACTTTGTAAGTGAGGCAGGCGGAAAGTCCTAGTTTCCGCTCCACGCTATAGACGAACTGTTGGGCGAGGTCGGAAAGGCCGAGTTTCCGATCCCTGCTCCTATTGTCCTACGCGGTCGCGGAAATATACGAAGCCGTTACAATTGTACTAAGCAGTCATAGATATTGTGTAATTTTTTCGTTCACGGTTGCAGATATTAGTTTATTTAGTTAACTTGTTGAGCAATGTTTTCTTTATTACAAAAAGCGATTCAGATATGTCGATGCAATCATAATGCTTGTTAAAATCTTGGCATAAACACCGAAAAGCATCATGCATTTCAAAGTTTGATTTACAAATACTCAACACAATAGGTTTAAAATGTCTCGTGGGTCTTGTAGGAATACAAAAATTTATCTCACTCAGTAAAAAGGGACTACTGACCATCCCGTTCATTAATTTAATTAAAAAACTGAACTCTTTTGAAAAAATCAGGAATGTTCCTGTTTTAGAATTTAAATGTATATTTAATCGCATATTTACAGGCGTTGAATTTTTTCTATAAAATTTTGTTTCAGATTACTTGCGTAAATTTTCTAAAAAAATTTTTACTCCATTGCGGTATGCAATTATAGAATTGAATTTTTATTAATTCAGGTCACAAGAAAATTTTGCGAATTTTAAGACAATTTATTACTTATTAAATAAAAAAAATCGTTTTACTTAAAAAAATAGTTTTAAATATACAAATTTTTCAAAAATATTAATGTATGTATATTAGAATATGTTTATTTCGAACCATTTTTTTTCTTGTTTTGCAAAAGATTTTTTTTCCAAATTTTTTGTTAAAGTTTTTTTCAGAAACTTTAATTTTTTCAAACATTTTAAGAAAATTCATTACTTATAAAATAATAAAATCGTTTTACTTAAAAAAATACTTTTAGATATAAAAATTTTTCAAAAATATTTATGTACGTATTTTAAAATATGGCTATTTCGAACCATTTTTTTCTTGTTTTGCAAGAGAATTTTTTATTTATATTTTTTTCCAAAAAACTTAAATTTTTTCAAACGAAAATACGCTTAGCCTAAAATAAATAGATCATATTCCACAAATCAAGTCATATTCTTTACTTTTAGGCTCTTACATATGTAGTGCAAGAAAATATAATGCGCTTGCATACTTTCAGGCTCTAAAAATTGATTTAAACAATATTACTTCGAATTTTGCATTTAAGGAGTTTCAATACAACTAACTCTATGAATGATATTTTTTTAGTTTTCCTTGGTTCTTGTTGGATAAAAAATTCTTCGTATGAGTGTTTATATTTTTTTTTGTTCAAAACTATTTAGTTTGCCAAAATATTTATTTCTCACATTTTACTTTCAAAAATATTTTTTCCCTTTTAGGGCTGTTTCACACTGTTGGCATATTGCAATGCTATTGGTATGCTGAAAAAATTTGATATTTAAACCCAAAATTAAAATACTTTAAAAATTTTACTTTTTTCAAAAACATGTTTTTGAAATATATTCATATTTTTTGAAAAATGTTTATATCAAAATATTTTCAGCTCTAATTAGATCATATTCTGCAAATCAAAGCGAATTGTTTACCATTATGCTCTTAGTACTGAAAAGTTATTACATGACTGCGGAGTTTTAGGCTCTGCAAATTTGTTTCCGAAAAATCTTTTTTTGAATTGTATATTTAATTAGTTTCTATATCACTGTAGAGTGCTGAATTTTTTTGTGTAACAAATGTCCTTGTATACTTTTAGGCCTTGAGTGCTACGTTATTTCCGTAGATGGGAATTAATTAAAGCCGTACACTACACTGCTGTAGTCAGAGTTATATTATTATATATCATTGCATACCTTCAGGCTATATATTGCTGAGTAGATATGTATTTTAAAGCCCTTTTCACAATGGCGAGTTAGGAGTAACGATCCTTGGGCAGCCAGCTCTACAAAATAAGGCCCGTTATCCCTAACTTTAGATCTGTGTACAAAAACTGAAATTTAAATGCCAAATGTGAAATAGCTCTCCACTGTGAAAACGGCACTCGTTAAGTTTAGTTTTTTTCTTTGACTGCTGTCTTTTTTAAAGCTAATTTACTTATTTCTTGTTTTTTTTTTGAATCTTGACTGCATTCTTCTCAATTTTTTCTTCGTTTACTCATTCGGTGGCCTAATTTTTTTTTTTATTTTATTTTTTAGTTTAATATTCCATATTTCGTCGACTTACCCTCATTTTTGGCTTGCTTAAAAATTTAAATTGTATTCTTTTTTCTGCCCAATACTTTCTTTTTACTTTATAACCATTCTGGTATTTATTATGCACTTTTTAAACTTTTCTGCGGTAACATAATAACTACTTTTTTATTTTTTCCATTTAAAATTTTCTAGTTTACTTACCAAAAATATCGCCACCCATGCCATTCCAATATTATCGAACGATATTGTCCCTTGAAATGGATTATGAGCGCTCTCCCTACAATCCGTATAATATTGATTCCAATTGACGCAGGAGGCATTTGTCGGTAGATTATCGCTATATACGGATGCCGGTTCTGAAAATGGCAGACAGGTTTAATTTTCCTAATGCATAGAGTTTTTAAAACACATATTATAAAAAAAAACATGTATTCCATAAATCATCAAAAAATTCAGCTCCAAGTAGACTTTAGTTCTTTCAAACTTTCTAAACCCCAGTGTATCTGTACCTGAATAGATCGAGGTACAGCGCCAGGATTGGGGGAGTTATGTCCTGAGATTCTCTCTAAATTGAAATCTAGACTTCAATACTGTGGTTAAGAGCCGTTAAAATGGAGCATCGTATAATCGTGCTATAGGCGACCAACCAGTGCCTAAGTTTATTACCGATGTAGCCATGAATAAAGAACTACTAGGACACATTATCTCTTAAAGGAGGTCAAAGAGAAGGCCAAAGCAAATCCAATATTCTACAGCGACTTTTTTACCTTTACAAAATTGCTCAAAAATGAACTGAAACTAGTAGGCTTGCTGAATTAATTCAGTTTTCAAAGATACTTTTTGCTGCCTTTTGAAACATTTATGCAATGATTTAGTGACCAACACATTAAAATATATACTTTTGAATTTCTTTTAATGTATTTGATGTACTATTTAAAATTGAAACATATTTTAATTGCCTAATTCGCTACTTTTTTCAGATCTGTTTATTTATACATAGCTGATCGCTCAACTGTGAAATTGAGGCGTAAAGTTATTTTTTGACAGAAGAACAAAATAAACAAAAGGCAACAATATACAGCATAGCTTTCGCGCTTTATGCTAATTGAGTTGCCGCTTGGATGGATTGCGAATAAAATTATGCCTAACTCAAGGGTACGGAAATATTTCAAACAGAATTGGGAAGAAGGAAAATTGTTTTTAATTGCCTTTATTGTTTCTTCAAAGTAAAGAAAGTAAATTTAAGACATTTCCTAAAAAGCAAAAAATAAAGTTAAAAAGTAAGAAAAAAAAATAAAAGGGGAAAACATAAGAAAAGTTCCTCTGCATTCTTATTACATCATTAGAATTTAAATGTTACCTGAAGGTTAGCAACAAAAAAAAAAATTAAAAAATTCAAAATTTAATATTTGTTTGCCTTTTAATTTCGCGGTTATATGTAATCATTTCCACAAAAGTAAGACAAAAATAAACCTAAATTTTTTAGATTCATCCTTTTTTCATTTTTTAAATTTTATATACCTACATACATCATCAATTTAAAATAATTGTTTCTAAAATTCCGACCAAGAAATCTATATATATAGTTTTTTCGCAAATTTTTAAGAATATAGGAAGAAATATAATATATGTACATAAATGTTAAAATAAATAAAAATGTGTCCCATTTCGAAAAAAGCTCGATTACTTCTGAGTGGAAGATCGACCCATTTCGGCAGCCAGTTCGAAAACGTCCTATATCAGAAGAATTTTGAACAACGCATTAATTTAGAATTTGATTAAAGAGCGCCCTATTCAGAATTTTATTGAAAAATACCCTATCTCAGAATTCGGTTCAAAAACGCCCTATCTTAAATGAAAATGTATGGAAAATGTTTTTCAATAAAATTCTGAATAGGACGTTCTTTAATAAAATTCTAAAATAAGGCGTTCCTTGAAAATTTTTGTGAGATAGGGCGTTTTTGAACTTGCTGCCGAGAAATAAAAGCAGGTAAAATATTAAAGAAAGTTTAAATTACTTAATTAGAAAAAATGTATTGCTTTAAAATAAACTATATATATTTTTTTTTAATTTTGTAAATAATAAAAATCTAATATCGATAAACTGGTGAAATGGGTTTAGTCATAGCGTTTCCAAAGAAAAGGTGAAATAACAAGTTTCGAGCTTTTTTCCATCAAATGAAAGCCACCTTATCAAATAATAAAAAGAATTCATAGAAGTACTTTAAATTTTAAAAGCTTTCAAAATATTTCCATCTCTTTAAAAATTGTTTCCATTATTACAACAATTTTTCTTGTGTCTCTTGAACATTTTTTTTATATTTGAAAAAAAAAAATAAATAAATAAATAAGAGCTGAATTTTTTCCATTTTTTTAACAAAAGTAATCGAGTAGTTATAAAACTAGTTAAAAGTAAAAATTTTAGTTTTTGTTGATATTCAATTAGTAGATTTTAAACATTTTGTAAAAATGAAAAAAGCATTAAAGTGCTCAAATTTTTTCCAACTTGTGAACATGTTTTCATCAAAACAAAATATTTTTTAAATTATTTTTATTTGAAAATTTTGATTATTTTTATATTTTTTTAAGTTTTTAAAATTCTATTCGTCATTTAATTTTATTTGCAAATTTTTCAGTACATCCATATGTATTTTGTATTAAAATTTTTGTGATATTTCATATGTTTTTGGGCAAATTGCGAAACATTAATTGCATTAATTGGTTTTTTTGTTTTTTATTAAAAAAAAAGTCATCGTAAAAAAAAAAATTTTTTTTCAAATAAGAAAGTTGTGAAATTGGTAATTCTTTAAAGTTTTCCAAACAAGACAGGCTGAAAAATGAATTCATGTCTTTTTAAACTATACAAAAAATTTCATGCAATTAATTTAGTTTAGTTTCCCAATTTTTGAAAATTCTGAGTATTTTTGATCAAAGTGGACTTATTTTAAACTCGCAACTTTTCATAGTTGGTTCTAGTTTAACTTTTTTTTTTCATTTTGTAAAAAATAATTTAATATAGAAAAAAGAGTTACATATACTTCTTTGCAAATCCTGAAATTTTTTTCTTAAACAAGGCACTTTTCAACTTCACAAATCTTTAAAATGTCTTCAAAATTAAAAAATACGTATAGAAGATTTAACGAAATTTTATTTTTATTTAATTTTAAACTAAACGAGCCGTTTTGAGGCCCCTCTGCAAAAAATTTGGAAAATTTAAAATTTTAACATGCATTTTTTAATAATTAAATTAATATTTCGTAAATTATAGAATTATTAAAGTTTATTGCCAAAATTCGTTAAAAACTTAAAAATTGTTTTATCTTGCTTTTCTGGTGAGATACATCATTAAGTTCATTTTAATCAATTCTTAGCAAACATTTGAAACTAAATTTTTAAATTAAATTTAAAGAAAATTTAATTGAATTGTTTACGGTTGTTTATTCCTTGTGTAAATTTGAATTTTTCGGAATTTTCTCATTGTTGGAATTGCAAAAATTTTTTAATTAAAGCAGAACACACCTGCCTGCCTTGCGCCACGGCTCACGCGTATAATTTCGAAATCATGATTAAAATTTGCGCTCGCATAATATGCGCAGCAACAACAAAAAGTTAAAAATTAATCGATAAAATTTGCCGCACACACATACCTTTTTGTACGTACGTATGTGTGTATGTAACTTGATATGCATGCATTTAGGTATGCATATTTGTAGGGCCGATCGACAGCATCAACCGTCCAACCTCATTAACATAAGCAACAATTACAACTACAACAAAAAATATGCTACCAACACAAATTGGCAGCATGGAAAATCATTCAAGTAGCAATTAAAGTTTGCTGCATTGTCCGCTTTTGCGCTCCCTCACTTGCCTGATGGGCTCCTGCATATCACCGCTCGCCCGCTACCAGCGCTAATTTTACTCCCGGGAAACACTAAAATACCGTTGATTTTTAATGAGCTACAACAAAGACATGCTTTGCTGTAGCTACGGTCAGTCAGTTAGTTGCCTAGCCCAGTGCCATTCGATGTTGCTCTTTGCCCCACTAACCCTCTCCCACTCTTTACACAGCGCGACCTTCTTCCGTTGCGAGTGAAAATTGAATTACCTCATTCATTCAGGCCGACTGCTAACAACTAAATGCTTCAGAATTTAATTAATTTCTTTTTTTTTTATGCTAACAACTTAGCAGCAATTATAACAATAAATATGTTGAATTTTGTGTTGTTGATATTGTTGTTGTTTGCTTACTTACCCGTACAAATCATATCGCCAACGCGGTAAGGCGGCAAATCCGCGCACAAATGCATGCCAGAGTCACCAGGCTTCGAGCAAATGTAGTCCTGCTCCTTGGAGAATTCGTAGTAGTTGGAGACACTAGAGTTTTTTGTTGTTGTTGTTGATGGTTGTTTTTTGGTTTGGTTTATGAATGGTTCCATTTTTGACGGAATTGTAGAGTGGTTGTAGAGTATTTGAAGAATTTAAAAAATTTTAAAATTGTTTTTTTATGGTTTGTTTCGAATTGGTTTTTGTTGGTGTTGGTTAGTAGGAAACATTTTGTGTTTGTTTTAGTATCAATGTAATATTTGCAAAAAAAAAATGAATTTGCAGTTTGCATTAATTATTATATTTTTTTTTAATATATGCAGTGTGTGTTATTGAGAGCAGAATGAGAGAAGAGAAAAATACATACAAAAATAGAGACATTTAGTAAATCACAATATATATAAACAAGTTTATATTCAAGACATTTCATAACATTTATTCAGACACTTAGAGATTGAAATGAATGAGTGAAAATCGAGCAGTTGAGCTTTGAGCGAGCGAAATTAAGATTTGATAGGTGAAATGATTAAGCATTAAGTTAATTGAAGAGACGATGGTAGAAACAATGATAAAGAAGTGGCCGGGTTTATAAAAAATGTAGGAAACTTTTTGCCAAACACTAGACACTTTTTCATAACTTTTTTAATAAAGTTTTTTGGCAAATTTTATATCTTTTTTACTAAACTAAAACAGTTTTTCTAGTTGCGAAATTTTGTTTGCAATTACAGCTTTTACAAATTTGGAAATTTTTTTTCTTGGCCTAATAACATTTTGTTTTTAAGAGTTTTATCTTTTCTGTTAATGAAATCGGAAAACGAAAATAATTTATCTCCATAAAAATTTGCTTTTCATTGAACTCATTTTTGAAATCTTGAAAACAATTCAAAGTTTTAATGCGATTTTACTTAAATTTTTTCCGAACTTAGGTAATTTCTCATACACTTTTATTTCTTCAAGAAACTAGAAATTTTTTTTCAGACTTAAAAATTGAGAGTTTTGGGAAATCAATTTTATGTCAAAAAATGTCACATCATTTCTACGAAATTTTTGTCCGAATTAAGAAAAATTATTAGTTTAATTACAATTTCATATTTCTAAAAATCCAATCCTATATTAAAAGTCCCTAATCGTGCTTAGTGTGAGAAATAAATTTTGGCTATTTGACGATACTTTCCAAATTGAGTGAGTTAAATGAGTGAAAGCATAATAGTTCCTCATTTATTTAAAACGAAATTAAAGAAACGATTCAAAGATGAATGAGTTACTACAGAAAAGTGGCTGGGAAAAGGAAAATTAGAGAAAAAAGTAGATTTTAATACTTTACGGTATTGAGTGAGTGTTTTAGTGAGATTAGTTGGAGTATATCTCATGAACGGAACATGTTAAAATCAGTGTGAGTAGTAAGAGTTTGTGGAGCTACAAAATTTCACACCGAGAACGTTACCAAAGAAGTTGTAAAAATTAAAGCAACCAAATGAGTATTTGATAGCGTAAAGAGAAAATATGCCTAGCAAATAATTAATAGAACATTTTTAATGCAATGAGAAATTAGACTAAATAAGATAAAATAGTCATTGAGGATAAATTAGTCAATATAAAAAATCTTAGTCCAAAAGGATAAGAAAAAAACAACTCAAAGTCATTTGCAAGTGTGTATGTGTAAATAGTGACTTTGAGTAAGTGTAGATTGAGTGCATGAAATTCTTATCTCTCATAAGAGCGAGAAAAATGTTACGAATTAAAAATGAGTGTTCGTGAGTTAAAATAGTAAGTTTGGATATGTTGAAATTGAGTGGAAAAATGTTACCTTCAAAAAGAGAAAAAGTTTATAAGTTACAAGTGAGTTAAAAAAATTGTGAAAAAATCCCTGAAGCTTTGAGAGAGAAAAGAAGTTAATAAAACTGATATTCGTACATTTTTTTATAAAGCTTAGATTAATACTGAAAACGAATGAGCTAGAATAAGCAATGAAATTGGGTAAACGGAATGAGATTTTTTTTATAACAGTTAGAGTAGTTAAGATGGTAGGATTGCGGGTGAGATTGAGAAAAAGTTATCACAAAAAAAGTGAAAATAAATGTGTTTAGCTCTAAAAAATTAACTCAAATTTAAATTTTTCTAAATTAGAAAATATTTTTACTAATCTCTCACTCTAAGCCTAGCAAGTTGAATGAGTTTTTATCTCTATCGAAACGGGAAATTTCTCAAATGAATCTGAGTGTATTTTTACGAGTTTCTAGTAGGGTAAAAATTGAGTGAAACCATTGAGTGTGTGTTCGTACTTATTCAGAAACGAGTGTAAACGTGAGCATAAAAAGATTTCTCAAATGTAACTGTATTACTTGAGTAAAGTAAAACGACTCGTATTTTGAGTGATTGTGGGTGCGTTTGTGGCCTGCAATGTAAACAATGCCATAAAAATGAGTGTGTCGAGGGTTAGTGCTGCGTGTATTATGTCATTGAGTATTTTTCTAGTAAGAGTCCGAGTCACTTTATTTTTTTTCTCAATAAAAAAGCGAACGCACTCAATAAAAGCACTCAGTTAAAATTTAGTACTTATTAAGCGAATAAAGGGTTAGTAAGCGTGTGTGAGTGTAGAAAATTATCAACACTGAAAGAGGTGGGTTTTGTTGAGAGAATTTATGAGTGAGAGAATGAGTAAGTGAGTGAACGAGTGAGCGACTGAGCAAATGAGTGAGTGAGTGGGCATCCGAAAGTGATATTTTTTTTTTGATAGAACTGTTAATAAGTAGAAGTAAAAAAAATGGGACAAATGTGATATTTTTTCCAATAATTTTTTTTATAAAAAATTAAAAAAAAAAAAATTTTAATAACTTTTTTAAATATTATTATTTTTTAATAACTAAACTAATAAAAAGAAAAGCTAATATTTGAATAACACAGAGTCAAAATAATTAACAGAAAATGTGTAAAACTATGAAAACGGTAACTTTTTGCCATGAGTGTTATAGCGGATTATGTATGAGCATTTTGAAGAGTGTAAGAAAGTGAAAATCGAGTCTTTTTTATGAGTGTCTGAGTAAGTGTTTGAGTTATTGAGCATTGGCAACAATTTTTAGATTATAAGGAGTATTTAAGAGTAATTTTTTACAATCTACTGTATCAGTGTAAAGGCGAAAGACTAAAAAAGGAGTGAAAGGAAGACGATTTTAAAAGAGTGAAGAGTTTCTAAAATATAGTAAGTAATTAGTATGAACAAAAGTAAGTAGTGGAAAATGCCTATAGATTATGTAATTAATCAACTCAAAATACAATGTCGCAGAGCATATGAAACCAAAAATATTGAGAGAGTAATGCACTGCAAGCATAGACAAATAAATGGCTGCAGAGAAGGTCTCATAGTTTTGAGAGAGTGAGAGAGAGGGAGGGAGAGAGAGAGCTACTTTTTATTGAACTTGTGGAAAGCCGACTCAAGCCACTTATATTCAATAAAAGTAAGATTAAAAACAAAGGGAAATGGGATTGGTTTTGCGTAAGAAATTTTTTCCATTTTTTAACTAAAATTTGTTTAGCAAAAAAATTAAAAGTTTGCATAAATCTAATTTGTGAAGTTATTAGAAAAAAAACGCGTGGCTGTAAAGTAGATAGAAGGAGAGAGAGAGAGAGCGAAAGGGAGTTCAAGTGTGTAGTAAGATTATCACAGAGGAGAGCATAATTTACTATTTATTTGAATATTTGGCACACAAATTTCTCTCAGCTTATGTACAAGAAGATGGGGGAAAATACCTCACTCAATTAAAGCGCTCATTCTTTTCTGATTTCCGCCATTTGAAATTAAAAAAAAAAAATAACAACTATGGTAACTTTATGACAGGTTTCCTTTGATGCTCCTAGGCTTCCTTCCCATGACAGTCTTTAAATATTGCATAAAAATTAACTATTTATGCCGATGATGAATCAAAATTATATGATTTTGAGCGTTGCTTATGAGTTAAGTAATTCGATTCATGGTGGTCTTAATATGTATATGAAATCACTTTTTTACTAAGACTATACTCAAACGTAGAGAATAGCAAACCAGGCTGTTAAAAAACCTCTACCAAACTGTATTATTGTTGCGGTTGTATATTTGAGGAGTATATATTATTTATAACTAGATATTCGAACCAATAAATATGTAGCTTTATTTAGTAGTTATTTTATAAAGTATTACCTTTAGAGGGTATTTAATTTATGAAAATATTAAGTGCCAACTGGCTGACTACGTTTTTTTTATTATTAAATTATTAAAGGGATATTTAGTATTCGCAACCTACTTATTTTTTCTAGTTGAAGTTATAACTTGTACTTAGTTGATAGCTGTGTTTAAATATATATTATTTATGTAGGTCAAAATATTTTTGGGCATAATTTTAATTTTGTGTAACAACAAACTACTGTATATCCATAGTCAAGGTAGCTTTAAATACCTTCCCAAGAGAAAATGATGATTTTTCCTGCAAAAAGAACAATCGCTTTCATGTGAGTGCTTTTGGAATTTGGTAAAATTAATTTAGAATGAACGCTACGAGGTTAATCATATTCTGTGGGTGGAAAGTACAAGCAGAAACTTTGGTTTCATATAAGGGCATATCAGATTATATCAGATTAGGGTGAGGTCAGTTGAGGTCTATGTCTATTTGTGTGGAGTTGTGTGGGGTTGGGTGTTAAATTTGTGCCAAATATAATTGTGTCTACGGTTTTAGGGTACTCCTACTAGATCTGTGTACAATTTTGAATATTAACAATTATTTGTTTGGGTACTACTAATTAATGTGATTATATATTTTTGACTTTACTTAGATATATGTAATTTCATTACCTTATACCGTATACTTTTATTGTGTCTTAAAATCCTTAGGCTTATAATATCTTCCAAAAAAAATTGTGTATATTAAATAAATATGTATATGCGGGATTATATTTTTTATATAAATAGCTATTGTAAACTGAGGGTAAAATTTCAGAACAATTGTATGACCTATAGGGAAAAAAATATTTGCGCCAAAGCGTGGAAGCGTCATATTTAAAGAAAATGTAAGGAAATTTAA